GGGCCTCGCCCTCAATGCCTCGGCCCTTGGCCGACCATGTCACGCATGACATGCAGCGGCTGCTTGATAATCGGGCAGCACTCAGTGTTTTACGTGCCACTTCACGTGCATCACGAGGACCTCGCCCATGATTCCTCGGCCCTTGGCCGACCAAGGCGTTCCACGTGATTACGAACGACACCGTTCTCATCGAGGAAGAGTCGGCGGCGGGCGATGACAACTTGGTCGATCGCCGTCCGATGACTCGCGGTAATCTTCGTGATTTGGAGGACAAAGCCCTTCGTCATCGACACTCCGCCGAGCATCGTTCCAAGGTCTCCTACCGCTGTGCTGAAACCTCGAGAGCCTGAAGCACTTTATGCACCGACTGACGCATGTTGAGGTTTACCGCGCTCCGTTGAACGGCTACTAGCCGTCGAGCAGACGAATACGTCACTTCGTGCGAAGGTGGATCGCCTTGCGCCACTGGAAACGGAAATTGTTGCACTCCGTGCTCAAAACCATTTGCTGGTTCAGCATCTGGGTGGCCAAGCCCCTTGGGGCGCCACGTCGAATCCCGGTACGGCTTAAGCAAGCCCACATAAAAATCGGGCGGGTGTGCATCCTTCTCGAAAGATATAGCGTATACACAAGGCCTCACTTGGCCACGACCTTAAAAGATCCAAGAAACCGTGGACGGAGCTTTGTCATAAAGACAGCAGAGACTGCATGTGTAGGAAGGATTTTGGCATTTAATATAACCAGGTCTCCGACCTCAAAGCTTCCAACATTTCTTCTGCTACTTCCAACTGTATATTCTTTCTGCATGACTTGGCTCTGAGCCATCGCATCGCAAACATGTCGTAGGACACTCTGTGTGGTAGATAGAGCGTCATAAACTTCATTACGGACAGAGAGGTGGCTAACATCAGCCAGCCGTTCAGCTATTCCTCCCCTACCAAGTCCTGAACCATGGGATGGCGGTATCACCGAGACGCGAGCCCGGTCACGTAGAACGGCTTGTAGCTG